GAAACTGATTCAACATTCTGCATTTGCGGGCACCCTTATTGTTTCTTCATATCACTGCTTGTGCCTGATGAAGAGTTTTAGTGCCTTTTTATAGCACGCTGCTGCGCTCTTAACAGTTCTTATTTTTTTGTCAATATCCAGGTCGTGCCACCATTTAAAGCAGTCGACGGTACTGTGGGTTCATACGATATAGATTTGACCGCAACTGATAGTTTTCATTTTTTTAAATGTCGGCATTTCTACTGTATGTACTCAAGGACAAACATTGGACAAGAGGAATGATTCGAGACGATTGACTCTACCAAATAATTTTCGATCACTTCTGTTTCAGCCTTCATCGATGGTAACTGTGGCTGGTTGTCTGAATTCACGTTCGCCCTATTCTCTGTTTTGCATTTTAGCTTTATCTCGCATTTCATAGTTTCTACCTCTTATGCCTTTGTCCTTAATAGCACGATTTGGACATTAAATCGAAGATGAATGATCCTTGAGCCTTCTGCCATTGATTGAAAATTCTCTTTCTCATTGCATTTTGCGAAACACTGACTTAAGACACACGGTCAGCAGCTTGGGCGACGCGGTGTCTCCTATCTTCGAACCTCATTAGAAACCTTCATTTCAGCCGGATTTTCAAACATTTGAATCGTCTTTCTGTTCCTTTTATGTACTTTTGTAAAACACGTATCATTGATATCATGACTTGTCATTGTCATTAAATATGTTGTTTTTACTACCCCTCGATGAAGTTCTTTCTATGCGACTAGCAGTGAGGGTTTGTTTCAGTTCCTTAACTCAGATAAGCAGGTATAGGCGTGGTGTATACTTTTAATAACAATATTATGATAATGGTTTTAAATGCAAACAACGACCAACCATGCACACTTCATATTGCCTTGAATAATTAGAATAAACTTTCATAGCAGATGTTCTCCATCCGCCGTTCGATAAATGTCTTCAAGACTTCGCCACAAACTTCTATTTAGCAGTTTTTATCTTACTTGAGCGAGTCAACTTTTTCAGCTCATCCTGCTATCGATCTATAGACTAGACCTTCCTATGAGTCGTTTAAGCTCACGAAGAGTCTAGTCTAATATTTCTGTGGTTCAGCGATAATCTCTTTTTCTGCCGACATGTTCTGTGCATTGCCATGTCATCTTGTTCACTGAAGCAATAGAAAAGAAGAATCTTGTTAGTGCTCTTACCCATTCATTTGTCTTTCTATCATTTCTTCTTATTGCATCTTCCAACATGCATTTTTCCATGCGACAGCCTTTACTTTGTGAATAGATTTCAGGTTCAGGATCCACAGGTAAGCGCTGGGAGTACGTACGATTAAGTGCTTTCTGTTTCAAGCTAAAGGAAAATTCTCGGATAAAAATAATTTCAGTCTTCCAAAGGTGCTCCATGCCATTTATACTGTTCAAAGTAGATTAAAATGCGACAACACGGCATGAAATTGCACATAAAATTTGTTTTGTGCAAATTCTTCAACGTTTCGGATCATTCTCGATCAGTCTTCAGCGAAAGACATTATATGACTCGATGTTATAGTATTCGTCATTATAGACTCGTACTAACTTCACTCTGGAGGTTTTAACCTCGACAGGAAAAGTTGCTTCATAGCTCTTCCAGTGCAGACTTAGTTTTACCTCAACATACCTTGATTTGGTTGAATTATCATAGCTTTTTATCTTTCGGCTTACAGTGTTTTCTCTCTTAGTGTATTCGTTTCACTTGGTCAGATAATATGCGGTATCATTAAGGAATTGTGTGTCCCACAGCCGCCGAATTTTTTTCTATTTCTTCTTTGCCGCATGCGGTTCTTTCCTTTGTTTTCTCCTCTTCCCTTTCTGTGCTTGTCTATTCCTGCGTAGATTGGCGTTGACCATCTTGTTAGGTGACTGATATGTCATTTCTTCATCTCTTATATGAAGCTGCGGTTCTCCTATATAATTAAGATGTCACTAACTAAGCAAAGTGCGGATCGAGTCTTTTTGGTTGGATTTCGTTTTGAGGGTTTTGACATTTCTTCAGCTGGTTCCGTAATGTTTTTCTTTGGATCTGATTGCCAGCCGTGTTCCACGTTTCTGTGCGATCCTCTGTAGCTTCTCTCAGATTTTATACGTATGGAACAACAGTGCTGGTGTTCGAACTTCGTTGTTCACTGTTAATTATTTCCTTGCTAATCATCCTTTATTGATTGCAGGCTGTTTCTTCTATTAGCTGTTTCTGAGAAATTTCCGGGCATAGCCGAAAGTTTTATGAATACAGTTCGAAATATCTGTTAGCTGGAGTGTTAGCGATGTCATTTTTCATACAGTATGAGTGGTTGTATTCCAATTGCAGAAATTTATCCTGTGACAGTAACCATCTTTTTTCCCTTTGTCTTGTAATTAGTGCATTCAGAGAAGGTATTGAGTTGTTCTTGTTTCGCTTCCATTGCGAATATGCTTATCCTGGATACAGGGTGTTAACGTGATCCAGGAAGAGTGTCTTCGTACCTTTTCGCAGATGGCCAATATGTCATCAAAATTCCTTCTGTACAGGATGGATTTTTGTGTCGGAAGTGGTGCATGACAGTTTTACTAGATTTCTATAAGGAAATCTGTTGAAACTGGAGACAACGGAAAGCCTATATG